TCTAATTTCTGAACTCATAATTTCAGTTTTTAAAAGTACAATGAGTTTATGCCAAGAACTAATTGCGTAGCCAGGATTTTCACTAAGGGTGTCCAAATTTAAAGAAGTAAATACACGACGAAGTCAAGGGGATTTAATACATAGTATATATTCCTAAAAAAAAAATTTACCCATCTAAACGGTGTAATTTTTCGGCGAAGGGGTGTGACACCCCTTAGAGCTATTGACTCCACTACTAAAAACATTAAATGTTGAACCATCAAGTTCAAATCCCGGATATGCCTTTGTATTCTAGTATGAGATATGCATTAAGTTTTTTTGCTCTTTTTTCACTGTAGAATGCTGAAGGAGAGCTGCAAAAGGCTTTATCTAGAGATAGTTCAGACTGTTCAAAAGAGCAAGATGGGAAAAGACACAAAACAGACCAAAATAATATCTCTAATTTAAGGAGCAAGGAAACAGGGAAACAAGTTAAGGAAGATTCTGATGGTGGGGAACCTCCTAAGGATAATTATGTTCATATCAGGGCTAAAAGAGGTCAAGCCACAAACAGCCACAGCCTTGCCGAAAGGGTAAATCCAAAAGATAATTGTGTAATTCAATCTAAGCTCATTATCTTTTTAGACATATTGAATGAATCTCCAATGCCTTTTTTGGTTGGCAGGTGAGGAGAGAACGGATCAGTNGGTGAGGAGAGAAAGGATCAGCGAGAGGATGAGATTGCTTCAAGAGCTAGTCCCAGGCTGTAATAAGGTAGTTACTGGTTCTATTGTTGCTTAAGTTATTGGTTATTTGTGATATATGGTTAAAAATTGATAACTTTTGTTCCAACAGATAACTGGGAAAGCAGTGATGCTTGATGAGATTATCAACTACGTGCAATCGCTGCAACAGCAGGTTGAGGTAAATATGTTGATAGTTTATGCTATAGCCATTGGTTCATGATTACGTGTTTACTGTGCCTGAGTAGATTGAATCTTGATCGTACCATTCTAACACAGTTTTAGATAGACGCAACTAAAGCATGTAGGATTACCCTAACTGTGCTTCATTAATAATTTTAGTTAGCATGAGCTTTTTCCTTCTGACTAAGAATTTTGAGGAGATCACGGCTTTGTTTCGGGAGTAGTAAGGTTCGCCTAACAGATTAAGTGAAGGGGGATTCAATCATATGTTATCAGTGCAAATGAATATTAATGGACTAGGAATATGTTCTTTGTGCAGAAAACAATATTCTTTTTGTCGTTCACACTTTAAATCTTTCATCATCCTTTGTTACTTGTTAGAATAAGTACTCCATGCTTTCCGGACTGATTAAACTAATACCAAATATGTGTTCTGATGATCTGCAGTTCCTGTCAATGAAACTTGCTACTGTAAATCCGGAACTGAACTTCGATATTGATCGCATTTTACCAAAAGAGGTAAGTTTAAAAATAATTGCTGTGGTCATCCATATTAGTTTTACCATGAAGTTGAAAATTTCTATGCCTTATTATTAAATGTAGATGCTCCATCAGCAAACGAGCAATGCAGTTCTTCTTGGTCTTGGTCCTGGAATGAGTTCCTCTCTTCCTTTCCCTGGAATTTCACATGGGAGTTTTACTGGTATGCCGGGAACTACACCACCCTTCCACCCCTTGCCCCAGGTATAAATAAAGATCTCTCGTAGAAAAAACTTATTTGCACCCGATGTTTACACTTAGCAAATGAATAGTACATGAAATGAATTTGCATATAAACTTATGCATTCTTAATTTGATACATGACTCGGGAAGGGGAATCTTGGAGCAACGGTAAAGTTGTCTCCGTGTGACCTATATGTTCGAGCCGTGGAATCAGCCACTGATGCTTGCATCAGGGTAGGTTGCTACATCACACCCCTTTGAAGTGCCCGGACCCTGCATAAACGCGGAATATTTGGTGCACCAGTTTGATATACGACTTATATGATTAAATTATTTGGTTTGGTGTAAAACACCGTGTGTTAGAGAGTATTTTCCATCTCTCATCCTTGTTGCACATTCTACTCAACTTCAAGGAAATGATATAATCAAAACCTACTACTTTTCATGCAGCATGTATGGGACAATGAACTCCAAAGCCTTCTTCAAATGGGATTTGAAGCAAATTCCTCTATAAACAATATGGGACCAAATGGTAATAACCATTAGCTACTAATACATTTTCTTTTTGAAGAACATTTTCTCTCTTGTTTTATTTTCTTAAAGTTTAAAACTGATGTCATATAAGCAGGGCGGTCGAAGTTGGATCTGTAGATTTCAGGACAGATGTTTGTGTTGTTTAACCATGATGAGAAGATTCAATTACCCCAATTGACTGCAAAATCTGTTTGCATACTTGAACAGAAGATATAGTGAAAATTTACTTTACTTTTCTGGAGTTGTATAGGTTATTAGCTCCTAACTCATTTTGTGTTCTTCGAGTTTTAGCAGAAGAGATTATTTTTAGATTTAAGAAATGACTGTACATTGAAAGCAAGACTATCATTTGGGGTTAGATGGCTTGTTTCAATTGTGTTTGTGCAAGTGTAAGAATTTGTTTTAAGCTTTACGAGGATTTTGAGAGAAAAAACATTGGTTATTTTCTTGTAAAGTCTTGTGATAGCGGAAAATAGACGGAATGGAGCATTAATATATCAGTGTTCTTTTCCTTTTTAGACGAGTTCAATCTTGGGCTTATCAATTTCTAGTTTTTCTACTGCAATCTTGCCTATTTGAACAAAGGATCCGATTAGAGTCGTTAGTATGGGCTTGGGCCGCTGGGTCGGCCCAACCCTACCCATAATTTAATTAAGTAAAAATTGTGTAGGGTAGTCACTTTTTAAAGTGGTATTTACTTTTTATCCAGCATTTTTAATACTGAGCAAAAGTAGCTACTAATCTATTAAAATTAGTATGAAAAGACGGTGTTACGCTTTCTTTTATCTCTTTTCTGTCCATATTCTCTTCCTTGCCAGTCTCTCCGTTTCTTTTTTATCCTGAAATTATAAGATTTAACAGTAGAGAAACACTAAAGAACGCGCTATGATGGATGACAAACAACTGCCTTGCAAGATAAATAGCTATCCACAACCCACATAGCAAACTGTTCAAGTCGTTTTTGTATCGTCTCTGAACCTATTTCAGGTGACCAAAAGGCTAACTTCTTTCCATTCCTTGGAAAGGTTTTTGGTTAGAATCCATATAACTGATGTTCAAACTAAGATCAGTTTCATCAACCCTGTGAAATGTTTTTTTCTTTTGTTCCAATAACTTCTCGACTAGATTTACAAAATTTCCCTCTGGCGCAATTGAACCTCTTGTCTTCAAAGAGGAAACCAAGGGAACTACTTTGTCCAAAACATTGTCAACCCAAACTTTGAAAGCGGAGGATGAATTTCTAATGAAGACAAGTTTAAAGTCCTTAACTTAAAGTTAAGGACACGTAGTTCTCAATTTAGAATTACAAGTTCAAAAGTTAAGAACAGATAGTCTTAAACTTAGAGTTACAAGCTCAAAAACTAAGGACACGTAGTCCTTAACTTAGACTTACAAGCTCATAAATTAAGGACAGTTAGTCCTGAACTTACAGTAACAAGCTCATAAGTTAAGGACACTTGGTCCTGAACTTAGAGTTGTAAGTTCAAAATCAAGGACACTTGGTCCTTAACTTAGACTTACAAACACAGAAATTAAAGACAGGTAGTCCTTAACTTTGAGTTCCAAGTTCAAAAGTTAAGGACATGTAGTCTTGAACTAAGAGTTACAAGTTCAAAAGTTAAGGACAGGTAGTCCTAAACTTAGACTTACAAGCTCATAAATTAAGGACAGTTAGTCCTGAACTTACAGTAACAAGCTCATAAGTTAAGGACACTTGGTCCTGAACTTTATGAGCAGAAGGATATTTTCGTCCGGACGGGTAAAAATTTATTAAAGCGTGGCTAAAGACTAAAAATATTTTAAACAGTGGCTTAAAAGTAAATACATATCTTATTACTGGCTAATTATGCATTCCCCCCTTTAATTAATAGGGTTAGACAAAGATTTTCGAAACCCACTTAAAATCGAGGCTTTTAAGCTTGGAACAAATAAGCCCGTAGCTCATGAGGCTTAACCGTTGCTTGCCTGGGTCGGCTTGTGGGCTTAATCTTCTATTTAATTAAAAATATGAAAAATATAGAAAACTAAAAATAACAAGAAGAGTAGTCCAATCACAAACTAGCAATTTTGTTTATGTGAATATAAATACTTTTTGTTCTTAAAATTTTAGATATTTCTTAATGTTTAATTAATTAACATTGCATATAATTATAAATTTAGATGAAAATGAAGATGCTAAGACATCGTTGTTTCACAAGAGGATTCAAATATGCTTTGTGAAGATGGTCTATTGGTGTCAAATATGCCATGAGCACCTTTGAAAATATTTTTGAATAGTTTGTTTTGAGTACTGACTTTTAATGAATGAAATATTGCCCTCCTTTTTTGTGTTTTAAAATAATCTATTGGAACGATGTCAAAAGTTATTAAGTTTTGCAGAAATTTTCTATCAAACAAGAAGTTTAGGTTAAAATTTAAATTTTAAAAAATATAAAAAATATTTTTTAAAATAATGGGCCAGCATGTGGAGCCCGCAACCCATGTAGGGTTGGGTTGGGCTGACCATTTAAGGCCCATCAAAATAGTAGGCCAACCCAGCACAACTCGTCAAATATCAAAGCCCGTGTGAGCTGGGCTGGGCCAGCCCGTCTTGACAACTATAGATCTGATCCATCAGTTCCATCATATAATATGATATCGTTTAACTGGATACAGGGTTTTACATGTTAAAAAGTTATTACATAAATAGTTAAAATGAGATAGAAAAAAAAAGTTGCATCAAAGTTTCTATTTTGAATTCTTGAAAGTTGGGAAAATTATACAGATAGCATTATCTATCTATATCTATACTATATTAAAAGTACGAAGACCATTAGCGAAATATCGTTCGCCTTTTTTACCCTTTAAAAATAGTTTTTACAGTGAACAAAATTGTAATTTAGTTTACTCTCCTAATAATTAGGATTTTGAAATCAATTAAACTTTTGCATATATTAAACCTTTCCTTATTAAACTAGGTAAGAAAACCTAATATTTAGGAATTTAAATCAATAAATATTTTACCTTATATAAGTTATACTAATTGAACATAATTCCTTTCTGATGTGCACGTTCTTATATGATGACTTCAAATGATTTTTAATCAAAAACTTAAAATATGGGAACATAAAATCACCCTTACTAAATTAAAGTATTTAATACAATAATGTATAAACTAAAATTGTTTTAACGCGAATCAAATATGCATTTTAAATATTCTTATTTTAATCAAATACAATATTTAATCCATGTTCAAATAAGCACCCAAATGATTATTTGATGCCTTATATAATTATATTAACTAGTACAAGCCTAAATTTATATAATAAAAACACGAAACCTCAACACGAAATGTAATTAAATTTGTATCCTTTAAAAATAAATTTCATATTGAATAAAAATGTAATATAAATAATTTATAAATATTTAACACTTTAAAATTAATTAAAAGTTTGCTTATTAATNACAAACACAATTAGTGAATTCAATAAGTTTTTATAGTAATTTGTTCGTCCTATAACTTATGTTTAATGCCCACGCATGTTTCAACAAAGTTATATAAATCATAAATTCTTTTTTATTTTTATTTTAGAAATTAAAACCTCGCTACATGAATAATATCGAAACCTTTGAACGGAGATAAATTGAGAAAACATATGATTTATATTTTTAAAATATCTTATTCGATAAATCTTTAAAGAATCAGAATAAAAGTCTATACCTTGTTTGTGTCTTCTCGAATGAACTTGAGAATAGCTTTTTAAAAAATTAAAATAATCTTAAATCTTCAAGAGTTATGCATTCTTATTGAAACTAACAAAATAGCACGATAACTCATGAAATTAAAATGACAAAACTATAAAATTGGAACATAATTAAAGATGAATATATCGAATAATGTTTGAGGACTTTTATGAACAAATTTTTTTCTTTTATTGTATTAGTTATAGAGGATCAATAGTCATCAATTTCAACAGCTTATACTCTATTTATAACTCAAAACATAATTTAAAACATATATAATTTTCTTACAAAATACTATTCATTAAGACGGGGAACACACGCATCACGCGTACACTAAAACTAGTTAGTTAAAATGGTGTCAAACATTGAAGTGCTCTAAAATGAAAAAATATCATATAAATTGTAAATACATTTATAAGCTCATTTCCCAATTTTTTGGCAAAAAAACTTTTTACCCAAAATTGCGGAAATTAATACTCGATCAAGTATTTGATAGCATGTGACCCAAAGAAAGAAACACGGGAAACGGAAAAGAGCAGTGAAGTTTTTGGATTGAAAGGAAAGGGAAGAGGGTAAGTGAGCAAGGATAAGGTAGTTTTGAATGCTCATCATCTTTGGCATGATATCTAAGTCAAATTTTGCAAGTCCGTTTTCACAATTATTTTCTTATGTCTATTTTATCGCTCTTATATTATTCTTTTACAGCTTGTTTGGATGGTTGTTCCGAATTGTACTGTATTATATTATATTGATTGTTATTCCAAAATAATGTTCGTTTTGATAGCTTATTTAAAATTGATCGTATTGTATTGTTAAATTCAATGTTTCCGAATAAAGAAAAGCCCATTTTATAAAACAATCAATTTGGTGTAATGAGATTGTTTCCTATTTTCTTTTCACTTATGCCTTTTGTAAACATTTAAATTTTATTAAATCACAACAAAGTAATTTATATTTTAAAGTCTATATATATTAGTCCAAACAAATATTATAGGCTAATATAATTGAATTAATTATATAAGTCCAATATATATGAGTTAAATAAACAGGTCCAAATCTATTGATCTAGCCCATCTAATTGGGCTACAAGTGATGAGCCTACTTCACTAAGCCCATTATGTCATCTTAATAGAGGCCTAATTCTGTGCCATGTGTCAAATAATGTGGCACATCAAGTCAAACAAAAGAGCCAATAGGATCGTGCTATGTGTCAAAGCGACAACGCATGCCAAACCAAATTAAAAATCCAATGAAACTGCTCCACATGTACAAGTCACATATTCCGGCCAAACAAATGCGGTCTTGTCACACTTCAGTCCGATTGGTCGGAAAGAGTTTGTTCTTATCACAACTCTTTCCTCCCAAAACTATAAATAGGGGTCTTTATAACTCAGAGAAGATACCAGAAGTTATAACAAGAATCAAGAGAGAGCTCGTGGATCAAACGCTACAAATTTCTCTACAAGTTTCAAACTTCAAACAATCAAGTTCAAGTTTAAGAAATAAAGTTCAAGCTCAAGAACGAAGAACAAATCAAGATTCAAGGAATATGAGTTCAAATCAAAGTTCGTGCTAGTTAAATTCAAGATCATCGTTCGTGGCAACAAATATAGATTTAAGATTAAGGGTGTTTATCGGGCGAGCTGGGACGGGCTGAACGGGAAAAACCCCAGCCCATTCGGTTAGCGGGCGAGCTGTTAGCGGGCTGGGGTTAACGGGCTGTTATAGGGCTGAGATTTTTCGGGTTTTCGTGGGCCCGTACGGGTTAGGGCTCTGGTGGGCTCGGGCGGGCCGG